TCTTGTTCGTCACCGACAGTGCCGAAATTTTCTGGGAAAAAATTTAAATGGGAGTGCATGAAATGCATTTCGAGAGACATGCGACATCCCATTCTGCAGTAGTTTTCAAATGGTTCTTCTACAAGTGTTTCATAATTTTCTACTTTCTTGTCCTCTGAAAACTCCGAAACAATTATTTTGAATGAACTCCATGCAGCTAATTCAACATTACCTGATTTTTAATCAAACTGTTGATCACTTAGTAGTTTCCTAATTTGTGGTCCAACAAATATACCTTCCTTGAGCTTTGCATCACTTAATTTTGGAGAAACGAGTTTGAGATATTCAAACGCCTCATCTTCTTTGACTGATGTTTCAACAACACTTTTCATTAACCACAGTTTAATATGAAATGGAGGCAATTTTTGGGATTTACAAGAGGTATAGTCTTCACGTTAGCTTGACCTGGAAAATATTTATATCTCGGAGGCCATTCTTTTACTTGATAATGGCTCTGTTGTGTTGCCCTGTTCTTAATTTTTTAACAAAATCTGCAAAACTTCGTAAATTCGCAATTTGTGGTCCAACAAATATACCTTCCTTGAGCTTTGCATCACTTAATTTTGGAGAAACGTGTTTGAGATATTCAAACGCCTCACCTTCTTTGACTGATGTTTCAACAACACTTTTCATTAACCACAGTTTAATATGAAATGGAGGCAATTTTTGGGATTTACAAGAGATACACGTTAGCTTGACCTGGAATATATTTATATCTCGGAGGCCACTCTTTTACTTGATAATGGCTCTGTGTTGTCCTATTGTTCCAAAGGCAAAACTTCGTAAATGCGCCCTGAAGACCTAGTAATAGTCATATGACTTTTAGGTCACCACATATTTGTCACTTATACGTATTATAACTTATTGCATTTAGAATAAGTGATGTACTTTCGTATGTTTCCTTCATGGCACCTGCGTGTGCAAGAGAAATAGAGGGTCTTTTGTTACCATCATGGAGCAGAACGGCTTTTAAACTTGTTTTAGACGAATCTATAAATGAACGTTATTCGTTCGGGTTATGTGCAAATCCTAATTTTTCCATAACACCATATGGATTCACACAAACACACATTTTATCCTGCATAGTAAAAAACGAGGATAGCTCATGGTTACGGTTCCTAAATATTGTAACTTTGGTTTTAGGGGCTAGTAAATTTCATTGTTGTAATCTAGACGCTAATAGTTCAGCATTCTCTTTGAACAAATGGAGGAAAAGGGAAAAAGCAAGTTTGGAATGTTGTGTTCATTAAATTTTTGTGAAGAAAATCACAACTCAAAAATCTTACGTGTCAGGAAATTTTTACTGGCATCACGGTTATAAATTGGCTGAAAACTAGTGTAATCGAGTTGGAAGTACCGCTTTGGCATTAGCTGATTCGACTGGAAACATTTTTTGTTGCCGTTATTGAATGTGAGATATGAAGATTGTTAGAAAGACACAATTCTTCTTTCAGTTCATCCCCTTACTCTTTAGAGGTATCCTATATTTTCCAAAAATCGATTGATAATTTCATTGAAGAGTATATTCAATTGCTACATGATCTTGTTTTATTTTGCATTATATGGAAATGTTCTCCAGGAATAAAAATGAATTGTGTTTTACGATCAACATATTTGTTTTCATTTGAAAACATTTCAATGAATATTGAAGTGACCTAAAAGCGACATAAAAAATTTTAATTGATTTTGAGTGATTTCAAATTTTATAATTTGTGAGAAAAGCAGGTGAATATTATGTTTTGATTATGTTATATCTCTGGATGAAACGTACGACGTATACACCAGCTCTGAAGCTCTGAACACGTAATGTATACATGTGCATATAACCCCTTTGTTTTTAGTATAGAGCAGCGGGTCTGCCAGCATTACAAATAAGTTCCGCAAAGAAAATCTAACAGCATGAAGTCGGGTATTGAAAGAGGTCATTTGGTGGCACATTTTTTGTCATATATTCGTCCAGGAAACTTTTTTGCAACAATTGACGAAAAGAAACAGCTTCGTGCGGAGGTGTATCATCCTCCTGAAATATCGATTCGTTTTCTGTACAAGGTTATGTCAGTGATTGGCATTCTGTAGTTGACGATGTCATGCAGTAATTATAGTTCTCATCAACCAGATTACCCTTGACAAAAAACATTGAACAATATCATTTCTGGGGATACTTTTGCACACATTAATTTTATTGAGGTAGCTGCTTATATGTTTTTTTGAATGAATAATGATTGTTGTCACTTCCGTATTGATAGTTGATCCTATTCAGTTAATCATTTGCAATATATGAACATATATCAGAAAAATAGATATACAATAAAGTTTTTTTCCTATTTATTTTGCTGCTGAATAACAAAACGTGGCGATCGAAGTCAGTTTCATGACCATTTTTCCTAGGTAGGTTAATATGAAATTTGAGTTGCTTCAACATTTCAACCTGACATAAAACCGCAAATCGTACCACTTTTCTTCCCATTGGTAGCAGAAATTCGTATTTTTTTTTTTCTATCAGCTGATAGTATGCGTGATCTAATAGACAGGGATGTCGCAATAATTATCATAGAAGGCCTAGACTGCTGTATTGCTATTTTCAGAACGTAGTTCCATCGATATTCTGTTACCGACATATCAGGCCTAAATGTCAGTTGTATGTTATTGGCTGTTTTTGTTCAACTTATGTACGTTTCGGTTGACAATAGAAAGTAAAGAGAGTTTTTCTACTGTACGTTCATATTTTTTCATAGGAAAAGGCGTGTAGAAATTGTTAAACCAAACGATGAGAATTGAAAATGAAAAGCAAGAGGAATTTTTATGACGTAACAAAGATCTTTCGGTCATCTGATCATCCGTAACATTTATTCATGCGCTAGTAGTAATTTCAACTTGATCTATGCCGACGTTATGTCTGCATTGAGGAGATGTAAATGGGGTCGAGAAAGGTTACCTTTCAAGTTTAAAAGAAACATAATATTTTTATCTTCATAAATGAAAATATTAACAATGAAAAGTAATGAAGGTATGCGGATACCTTCTTACTGATTAGATTTATTTTGATTTTGACTATGCACAGTTTACAAAACCGCAACTCGTGTTTCGCTCTGCAATAGTTTTTCAAAGAGTAGTTGATCAACTGCTGTAATATAGAATCATTGAACATTTTATATTCTAAAACCATAAGTATAATCAACGGTCCGATCAGACAATTAGTTTTAACTACCAGAAAAAAGCACTAGTGAACATTATGTGGAAAACAAGTTAATAAATTGATGAATATTACATATTGGTCAACAAAGGGCCAACAAAGCATGACTATTTGGCAAAAAAATATTAAATAATGAGGAGCGATTCAACTCAATTTGAATTTTTATATTGCCTTAATTCCATACTTTCTAGAAGGCCAGGTATCAAAACTTTCTTTTGGGAATGCAGGGTTTTGAATTCATATTTCAACCCATGCCTCTTTGTGACGACGCGAATAGCATAAATTGAATTAATGTTTTCATTCTGAAAACGGTTTCCATGTGCTTTCCAGCGTGCTTCGAATTTTTTCTCAGTCTGACCTATGTAAAACATCGAACATGAATCACAAGACAATTTATATACTTCTGATCTATCTGACACCAAACTCTCTGTTATTTTCAGTATGCGTGAACAAGTTAGTATCGCCAAATTTTAGATTTGACAATAACGACAGGCAATAATGAAAAGAAATTCCCAGTTCCCATTAGCATTCATAATTGTTCCACACATCCATATCAACACAAAGTAGCAGCATTCAACAGCAGGCTAGTGAGTGTTCCTTTGCCGTATATGAATTTCAGTAAAGAACTGGGTCTAATGAAACAAATTGCGGTCATCAATGGTTGAGATAGCAATTTGATATAATGCATGCTGGAAACTACAAAGACAAGAGTTTGGTGTGGGATAGATCAGGCGTGTATGAATTGTCTTGTGGTTCATGTCCGATATTTAACATAGGACAAACTGGAAGAAAATTCCAGGCACGCATGAAAGAACATAATTTCCAGAATAGAAATTGAACTCAAATAATGATACTCACCTCCTTACAGAGGAACATGTGTTCAATTATGAATTCAAAACTCTTCATTCCCAAAAGGAAGGTTTGAAACTTGATCTTCTAGAAAGTATGGAAATCAATAAGTGAAGAATTTTCCAAAGAGTAACTAACGATCAAATTGAGATAGTTGATCAGTTTCCAGTTGAATAATGTGTGACATTATTTCTACTAGTGAATAAGTGTTTTCATCTTTTTTTACATGTATTTATCTGCTCTCACCAATCATTGTACCCGCTCTATGTGGAAGTCAAAATCAGGTTTGAATGAGAAAATCAAATATTTTGAAATAAATTTCGAAATATTATTTACTACCAACTACCTACACTGTAGTGTCTGGTAAACGTCTGTTGGCTAATACTACGAAGGATATTGAATTATATCCAAAATTCTCCTTCTTTAATGAGGAAAACTGATATTGACAAGGTAATTGTTTTTAAATTGATTATTGAAATGCAGTGTCTGTTCAAATTATTCGACTTTTTCATTTATGAGAAACGATATTGAAGAGATAATGGAAATTGAAAAACTATATTTGAATAGGATACCATAATGTGTTTCGGTTGAAAAATTACCATTTATCTCAAGGTAAACTCTGAAATTTGATTTGAAGAGTTTCAGTCTCCTTGAGAAACTACTAAATTGTAATATTGAAAGATGAAAAAATTGTGGAAATTAATTTCATTGCATTAATTTTCGATATTCGAATTGTTTAAAGGTCACAAAATCGAAATATCACAGTCATTAGAAAATAAACTAGTCCAAAATCATTCACAGGGTAACTCACTAGTAACATCGTCAATAGATATAACGAAAAGTATCTATAAAAGTCTTGGTGTCGCCACTTTTCTGACGTTAACATTGGAATTACACAAAATAATTGATACTTTGGAGAAACGTTTTGAACGACCAGGTGTTATTGAAAATAACTTGATCAAGATAGCCAGAAAAAATCCAACTGTTTGAAGTGACAAACCATATTCAATTGTTGACTTTTCAAATTCTGTATAAAATTTGTTATGACGGTGATGAGTATGAACAATCAACGATATTTGAACAATCCTCAACTATTATCTGATTTGATCGAAAAACTGCCGATCCTCGAAATTGGATAACCTGAAAGTTCTATTATAAGATTGATGTTATTTAGGGAATATTCTGAATTGCTCGATAAATAACTCAGTTGACATCTTTGATACAGTAAATACTGTTAGAAACGAAAGAAAATTCCACCACTTCACATTATTCATCGGGACGGCAAACCAACCAACACAACATACTACTCTAAGCATCTTCTTAAACACAACTTTCCGGAAGCCGATTTGCCATTAGTCTTTCCTTGATGGCGATGCCGTTGAGTTCCAAATCGGTGACTCTCTGGAGGGTGGAACTGCCGTTTCCCAGGCGGAGATCTTTTGGCCTTGATTCTCTTGGAAATGTTCCTCCGACCATGGCTACTGGGTTGTTATATTGGTGATACTGAAAATATAGATGAATCAGTTGAATGAAAGTGATGAATAACTGACACAAAATAACTTTTACTGAAATTCCATTTCGAATCTGCTCATGAACAGGTCTGCCAGGACATATTGCAAAAGGACACATTGCAAAAATAAATTTAGATAGGCAATATTTTGAAATTAATTTTTATATAGCTGAAAATTGTTTTATATACAGCTATAACATTTAAACATATATTGTAAAATAATAGATAAGGCAAAATTGTGAAATTAATTTAGGGTGGTATACCTGTATGTGTGGTACACCTGTAGGGTTTACCTGTAGGGTATATCTAAATAGCATAAATAGCGTTAGCTTCGCGATAGTTTCTAGTTTGATCTTCCTCTTGAAGATAATCACTTGGTGATCGAAACACGTGTAGAGGTGTTAAAAATAGCGATTTGGTGTTGGGAAAAACTCCAGTAATATTTATTCTGCCAATGTTAGTGCTGAATCGTCAGTTTGTAATGATAATTTATCGATATTATATTCTGAAAACATACTAGAGTAATATCGTGGGAATATTTGTATGATTGTAACATTGTAACGAAATAACATATACTATCTCACTATTCTGTGTCCTGGATGATCTAGGCGACCGTTCAATACAGGGCGATCCAACGAAAACTTGACCCTACCTGAAAGTCAGAAAGGGACGTGTATTCCAAAGAACACGTAAATTTTTATTTCTGGAGGGACTTATTCTAATATGAAAATCATACCCGAAACTTCACCCCCCTGCAGTCAGCAAGTACTCCTCTATTTTTGTCAATGACATGGGAGGTCAAGTTATACATCATTTGAAAGATCTTCTGTCCCTCTATCATCTCTGTAATTTATTTCGAAATTGGTTCATTCGTTATTGATGAATTAAATGTTGAACGTTATATTTAAGAATAAATAGAAAATTCGCTATCGCTCATTTTATAGAGAAAATCAACGAAAGTAATATCAATGGCAGCACCATCAACGGATAAAGTGTTCAAATTGACGTCCATCTGGTTCCAAACAATAATACAGTCTACTTTCGAAAGCGTTCCTTAAATTATTGAAGATATCCGGAGTCACAAATCGTCATTCCCGAACAATTTTCTGTCGCAGGTGTATCAACTACTAGTGTTTTTTGGATTTTGAAAGCCTACAAATTCCATCCTTTCAAAATAAGCGAAGATGATCCTGATCGTCGACTTCAGTTTTGTGAGATGTTCAGCGAAAAATTGACGAATAACCCAAATCTATTATACAATACACGTTTTTCAAACGAAAGTTCTTTCATGTTGAATGGTGAAGTGAATCCTCATTTGGAGATGGGAACATATTTATAAACTCCACCAAAATTGAATGTCTCGGCCGGCATTCTTGGTAATCATCAATCATTTTTCATTGAAGGTAATCGCAATGGAGACACATCTTAAATCTATTACAACACTGTGTAGATCCTATGATCACACAAATTTTAGAAAGTGATGATAATTCAGTAGAAAATGAAATAATATTCCAGCAGGATGGTCCACCCCTACATTTTGATCTTCTGGTGGGGCAGTTTTCGGACAAACGTTTTCCAATGCGTTGGATCGGCAGAAGGGGTCCAGTGGAGTGGCCAGCTAGATCAGCTTATCTCATACCGATGGACTTTATTCTGTGGTGATTCCTGAAGTCAAAAGGGTAGTCTACTAAGCCTACAAATCTAGAAGACCTGAGAAAGAGAATTGTTCGCGAATTTCGGATAATGTACGGAACGCTTTCGAGAGTAGACTGTATTGGACTAGGTGCAGGTCATTTTCAATAATTCATCCGTTGATTTCGTTTACACTGATATTATTTGTTGTTGATTTTGCTCATTAAAATGAACGACACCAAATTTTCTTTTTTTTCTTCAATAAAACGTTCAACATTCAATTTGTCAATAAAAAATGAACCAATTCCGAAAAAAAATTAAAGAGGTAATAGAGGGACAAAAGACCTTTCAAATGATGTATCACTCGACACCCCATGCCATTGAAAAAAATAGAGAGGGTAGTTACTGACCACAGGGGGGTGAAGTTTCGGGTATGATTTCCATATCAGAATTTTTCTTTCTAGAAATAAAATTTGAGGTGTCCTTTGAAAGTTTTCGTTTTCGTTCGAACATCCTATAAAATAAAACCTTATCGAGAATTGGAGGGGTTCCGTTTCTCGCCTATAGATGCTCGTAATGTACATTTTTCATTTCAGTTCTGTCGAATGCAACCACTCAAACTGCACATTTTTGACTTCCACTACAACATTTATAGAATAGTTTGAATTTGTCATGAATACTCATAAAAATGAATAGATAGATATTTGTTACACAGAGTAATTGTAGTCATACACATCATACTGTCATACTGCATCATACACCATAAATTGCGAAATATTCAGTTCAATCCAGTACAGTTTGAACAATAAAGCATTTTCAAAATTGAAACTGACAACTGATGCTATAACAATATATGAAACGAAATAAATGAAATTTAAACTTTCAAAAGTAGTTATCATCTTACTTCGACAATCAAAATGCAAACCAAATTTAATTCAAAATGAAAAACTCATCATTTTAATACCTAGAAACGTTGCAGAAGAATCATAAACAATTTTTTCATGATCAAGATATACATAATGTGGCGGTTTTATACCGTTAATGATCTCGAACATAATGCAGTTGTCTTTTTCGTCATTTACAACCAAGTTGTTCTCTAGGAAATATTCTTTTCATGTTCTAATCACATCACTACCCTTCTTGATCATATCTGGAAATTTGGGGCTTGTCAGAAGGTAAGTGTCGCCGGCGTAATTAATTAGATTAGCAGACTTAACATTTTTCTTATTCTCTTCGATATCAATAATAAAATTAACAAAGAATAGTGGGACAAGAATACTACCCTGTGGGATCCCCATCGATGTTCTCAATGCCCTTGATCTAACTATGGAATTTTTTTAATTACTTTATATTTTACAGATATGAGTCCAGCCAATACTTATAACACGAATGTCAATAACATTGTTAGAATATATGTATGTTATGTGGTTCAACATGTATAATCATCATATTAGATAAACAACTTTCAGTCCATTACTTGATTGTTGATCTGGGGAAAACTAAACAAGTCTGTTAAACACTCAGGTTTTTTGCTGACAGCAATTATGTATATGTTAGTAGAGTAGATCAAGTCTGAACCATCCGGAATCATTAAACTATGGATCAAATTTAGGTACACCGTAGGATAATTGAAAATATAGCTGTTTACAATTGTTGTTGTTCACAGAACTTTTTTGGACTATGAAAAAGGAAAAGAATTTTCCGCATCGTTAACCCTCCAAAGAAAGCTGTAGTAAAAATGTATAAATAAGACATGTCATTGACTAATTGGACACTTCAGTGTACGAAGTAACTTTTCGTTGTGAACTTTTAATAATTAATAAGTAGTTTTTCACTATGATCCAGATAAAATTGAAGGTACGAACGAATCATATACGAATCATGTCTTAATAGGATAAAGTTTCCTGGAAAGCCACAAATTGTGCTACAAGGACCAGAAATGCAACCATTGTTTAGCAAATTCTTTCAGTTGAATACGAATCAAAAATCACTTTGCTTCAAACTATTGAAACAATGGTTCGAAATTCCCTATATGACTACTGTATATTATGGTTTGGTTCAATCGCAGCTCTCTTGAGATGTCTGGATATATTACAAAAAAAATTCTGAAAATTTTGTTAAGTAAAGGTAGAACGTTCTCCAGTGACCTCATATTTGAAGAAAGTAATGTCCTAGAGACACGGCAGCTATACTTCCAAAAGATTATTCTGAAAGTCGTAGAGAACAAAATAAAGATAAAACTAGTGGAACACATGTATAATTCCCGTGGAAAAGAATACACATTTTTAGCTCCTAGATGCCAAAAATTGGTAGGTCAAANGGACATGTTCTTGTGGTAACCACAATATTCACATCATTTCTCAAATTATCTTCAATCTTGAAAAAAACCCTATTATTTAACAAAAAAGTTCAAGCACACTCAACGATAATATACTCAACTATTAAAGTATTTAACAGTCGAGTATCGGAGTATCTGATAATAAGTATAGTATTTTCCTCGCGTGAAATAACTTTCAGTTACTGAATAATAGTCAATATTCGTCTGTAGCTCACCGCAACGAACTATGTTCTAGTAAGGTCAGCATTTTTCGTTCGGTAATGCAATATACCATTTTTTCAAGTTTATACTTCGAAATGTATAAGGACATGTAACGTACATAATGAAAAAAAAACAGTTACCACAGCGTCGTAAAAAAAGTACCAGTAAGCAACAACCCTTGAACCAAAAATATACCCTAACTAACTGTGAGAAGTGTGGATTTTTCCAGATAAAATACCGCGATATTTCAGGCAGTATCCGAAGCAATATCTTTTTTGCAAACATCACCCTCTTGAGAAATATGCAATGGAAAATGCAGACAATCATGAGCTATTGCCTTCGATATTTCGAAGAAAACTCAAGAACATTTAACATTAGCTGAATGTTTTTACTCGTTGCTTTTTTATTTTCTAAATGACAGTTTCGATATATTTCTCTTCCTTTCACTTTTACCATCAACGCAAGAGTGCTAAAAGTATACTCACCATGTCCCAACCCTTGCTCTTATTTGTATATCTGGCTCAATGGAGAATATCAAAAAATATATTTCCTCACTGACAGCATATTTGTCTTCAGTTTTACAATTTTAATGCTTGAACTTCAGCTGACATTTCACAACTCCGACAAAGAATATTTGTATCGTAGTCCTCAGACAAATTAGCAATAACCCAGTGGGATGAACCAGAGCCCAAAAATTTACCATTCCTGATCCAACATTAGCGCTATTTTGACTGACAAGCCTGAGTGAGTGTGAGTGTGGAAATATTCACTCTCAGATAGAAAACTCAACCCAGAATAATCTCTCTGTGATAAAATTATTTCGTTAGTTATCAATGTCCTTGGGATATTATAGCTGATAACGAAATTGATGAATTCATTTCTCTCACTAGTTTGTGTATGAAACAAATCTGGTTCCAGGTAGAAAGTTGCCTTTATGAACAACAGGAGGGAACGGCTGTGGATAACCCCTTGTTATGGTTATGGCATTGATGGTGATGTTTACCAATGATTATCTGAATATTTATCCCATAGAAGGCAAAAAGTCAGAGTTCAAGATAATATTTCACACGAATTGAATATACATATAGGTGTGCCGTAGGATAGCGTTTTAGGACCTCTGCTTTTCATCTTATTTTTGAATGACTTAAACTTGTTTATTAAATTTTGATTACTGTGAATCTATTATTTTCTTGTTTAATCTAAATCAAATATCTCAATCAAAAAAACTTCAAAACAAATGGGAGAAGTTCCATGGAATCTTTATTTTTCAAAGGGTTTGTGCGTATAATAAATTACCAAATGTAACTAAATATAGTCCATTATTTATTTTTAAAGAACAGTTATTGAAATCCATCCATAATGCTAGATAGAATAATACTTGGTAAGATAATATTAATAAATATAGTATTTGTATGTTATTTTCTTTTCAGATATGTTTTCAACTTTTTCTTAAAATTATATATGGAGTACCTAGTGTCTAAATTCACTGGGGAGAGTATTATACTGTTTGATAGAGTTGTAAATAAAACTACGAGAAAAGCAGGCTGTCGAGTGTTGTGGAATAATAAAAGTGTGACAGGTTCATGTCCTCGAATTTTTCTGAGATTTGAAAGTTTTATCTTTCATAAATGAGATTTGGCTTTTTGCAAATGAGGAATTTATGTGTATTGACGAGTAGGTGGAACTGACAGGTTTTAGCAATCGGTAATCAACCTGACTCCTCGAACTTGGGGGATATATGGTCGAATTTTCTAACACCATATGAAATACCCATGCAATAGTTTTGTATTTTTCGTAAGCGATTTACATCAAATTGTATCAAAGCAGCACATTGCAATATGCTAATCTAGACAATATGAGGGTTTCACAAAGTTTCAACTTCAATTTGGAAGTCATAATGTCTCTAGTTTGATAGAATTGACGAAAGATACTGTACGAGCTACGACAAAGTGAATTTTTTGTTTGTGAAATCTCAGATCAGCATCTAGCTACAAACCCAAGTTATTGCTTTCTGTAATTATTTGTAGTAAGTCTTGTGCAAGTTTGATTTCAAATCTTCCTTCAATTTTCCACCTGTTGTGTTTAGGGTCAAAAAGTATCACCTGAGATTTTTAGAATTCAATTTCAGGTTATGGGCTATAAATAAATCCAGTAACTGATGTTTATCACTGTTAATTTTTTCCATTGCCGCCTGCCAGTTACTTGGAGGAAATCGATAATATAACTGAGTGTTATCTGCGTAATGATGAACTGTGCAATGATCAATTATTTTATGGAAGTCAGTTATATATAGAGACAACAGAATGGGCCCAAGGATAGAGCCCTGAAGTACTCCATAGTCAAGAGGATAAGCACTAGAACATTTTACATCCAGACATACTGAGTGGGTCCGATTTTTGAGGTAACTTCTCAATAGATCTACAGTCCCTTCACTAAATCCGAAAAATCACATTTTCCTACATAAAATATTGTGGTCTTATGTATCGAATGCTTTACTGTAGTCCAAGATTACCATGGCAGTTACCTCATTATTATCATTTGATTTTCAGTTTTCTTTTCTTATTATACACCTGTAAATTATCTGTCGATTCAGCTTTGTTTATTTTCCAGAATGGGGAAAGAATATCCAGATGTCCTCAGTTAGTCAGTTCACTGCAACAAAACGGTACTGGAAAAATGATTTTTCATTCGCATTGAAAGTGGGATGCAAATCAAAACATTTTTCACTCATTCATATTGAAGTATCAACATAAATCAGTGGCTCTGTCTGATATAATTGAATGTGAATACCCTTTTTCGTACGTGGAGTTGAAAAAATGATTGCAAAGAGCTCGTTACATCTCTAACGCTACGAAAGCGACAAAGAGGCGACATTTTCCGGTTATTGATGATCTCGAGCATTACCTGATCCGTCGCTGAAGCTGCACTTACTGGGCTAACCCATTGGGCAGCCGGGATGACCACTTTCTGAGCGTAGTTGGGGGGCGAAGAGATTGCGGATGGCGAGAGATTCCTGGCCGGCACAGCTTGGGGACCGTTTAATGTCCCGACGTGTCTGTCACTGTCGCCTTCGGGGGAGCCTGTTGGGGAAGAAAAACGCGGCTATTAGCGTCGAGACGAAAAATGTTCGATTAGGAGGGATGGTGGAGCTGATAGGGTGGCTTCTGATGAGAATACGGGTGGGTGGTGATTTGTTTTTTGAGGAATTATCGGTAGTTTTTCAACTCATTATGCTAATTTATTTTCATCAGTTCATATCTATTCTTCGTCTATTCGACCCTCCACCTCAACCCACACGGGTTTATTGTGGCTCACACCTATTCACACTAAACCAAATAAACCCAGCTTATTAACAAAGCCGATTAGTTTGTATGGTGAGTGGTGTTTCAGGTCAGATGGTATGAGTACGGATCTGCCGAACTCTAAGAACCTGATTCGGTCCCTAGCAGAACAGGCACAAACTATATGCTCTGCTGTTTCATCATTTTCCAAACAGAGGCGACACACTGTCTTCGGACAGTCCGAGTCTCTGCATCTGATGATTCAAATGACAGTGACCAGTAAGAAGGCCTAATAGACATCGTAGTTCATCCCTACTGTAGTCCAATAATTGTTTGGAATCAAGCTTCAAAGGGTGAATAAACGCCTTGGAGTGAGCCAATCCAGGAAGTATCTGCCAGAAGTCCATAAATCTTCTTGCCATCCAGGTATTCAATGTTTGTTTGGCAAAGCCTAAAGCGATGCCAATGGCAGGTTCTGATCCGATGGATCTGCTTGCGGCACCCTCCTCTGCAAGAGAGCCAGCAGCTTCATTACCAGGAATGGCCAGGAATCCAAACCATAGACAATCTGTTATGTTTCCCTATCGAGGAGAGTCGTTTTTGGCAATTCGCTACCAATTTAGACGTTGTTCGGTAGAAGCCAAGAGCTTCTACCGGAATCACACGTTAAAAGGTAAGACTTCGTCAGTCCTTAGCTCGCACAAGCTTCTCAACTTCTGAGAGTTGTCGTTCGTATGGGGGCGACATCTGATTAACGGAAAAACATATTTTTTTCAACAGATTTAACAATTTATTAATATCTATAGTTATTTCTTTAGCAGAAAATGTATGTCGACAAGATATATTTCTTATCACATTGAACGTATACCTCTCTCCCTCAGTGAGATAGATTTTTTCAAATTTGAACGATGTCCATGAAAATCAAATCATGATTGTCAATTCAATTGTGATGAATGCCAAAAGAATTGAGTTAATGGTTTGAATCAGTATTATAAGAATATCAATTCAGCAATCATTATATTTTCATATTTTCGATTTTACTTTGGAAGGTATATATGACGGAATTGGTCGATACTGGATGAAAATCCATAACTAACGTAATCAAACAACCCATTATTGTGAGATTTTCACTAAATGTTCTTACAAAAACGCAACACGTGTTTTACCATACAATGGCTTCTTTGGGGATGGATATCTTTACGATAAGGTAGTAAAGATACGCCCGAAGAAGCCATTGTATGGTGAAACACGTGTTGCGTTTTTGTGGAATCGTTTAGTGCAAATCTCACATTGAAGTGTTTTTTGAACACGTTTTGAATATATTCCCCGTTCTTCATTTCTTGAATTATCTGTTGGGCTAGCCTAATATTGCGACATAATTTCTACCGATAGTGAATTCAAAAAGGTTTGTGATATTCTTGAATCCACCTTTGACATCAGTACTCACCAAATTTTGCAGGAATAACATCCGGATCTCTTTCATCTATATCTCTTGGTGAGGTGCTCCTTAACAAAGGTTTTGTAGAAGAAATTGTGTTGTGATTAGTCGGTCCAACAGAGCTCTTGTGTTCTAGTGTTCCTACCCCTGGGCAACCCTGGGTTCTTTTGATCCTTACAATCACCAGAATGATCACTATTATTACTGTTAAAGTAGCTCCGAGAAGTATACCCAAGATTGGTGAAATAACAATATCGCCATCGTGAGCTGAAACAAATTTATCTTTNAGAAGTATACCCAAGATTGGTGAAATAACAATATCGCCATCGTGAGCTGAAACAAATTTATCTTTTTAATTTACAATTTTGGGCAGAACATCCTTAATGGTTTTAGTTAGTTTCATGAAATCATGAAATAAATAATCATTATTTTAGACACACCGTGAATCTTTTCATGACTACATTGGAATAGGTTTTAGTCTGATTCAGTAAACCAACGTGAAGAAGGTGAGGTTTTGGTTTCTTTTGATGTTAGTTCCTTATTTCCTGGCGTCCCAATTCCATAGACCTAACAATACCTCAGGGAATTACTAGAGTAAATAATTTCAATGAAAATTTTTTGCCAAAAAAATTATCCTATCAAATTTGTCTATTTCTAGTCATGTGTGTCGAAATAACCAATGAAACCATCATTACTATTTTCATGTTTTTTATAATTATGTTCAATTTCTATAATGTTAGTAATATGTTTTATATCATATGGTATATAAGGGTTACCTATTTCATTAAATATATTCTTCTTCTTCTACCTGGCAAAACTGTTCATGAGCAGATTCGAAATAGAAACCAAAGAAAAGTCAAAGTATTTTCCTAGGATATGGCTATGGTATGTGGATGATGTTTTCGCGATATTCGATAGCGAAAAATGGAATATTGGGGACTTTGTTTCTTCTGTAAATGATAGATTTCCATCAATAAAATTCACGTATGAGTTAGAAAATAAAGGGCAACTTCCATTTCTTGACATTTTGGTAATGAGGGGCCAATATGGAGGGCTAGAATACAATGTATTTAGAAAAGACACAAGCACATACAGATATATTCCTGACAGTTTACATCACTGTGGACAGCACAAACGTGCTGGGCTGACTTTTCAAGTGTATCGTTCTTTTGGCTTTTCCTCTCACACATGAGGGGTTCACAAAAGAAAAACTTACAATAGAGAAAATAGCAGCCACTTACGGTTTCTCGAATGCACGAAATCTCGACTTTCAAAAAAGTCAAAAACCAAAATAAATATATATATCAGTTCCATACCACCAATACACCAAGAACTTTGAGAAGATTTCCAAGGAACTAGGTATGGAAGTGGCTATAGAGCCATTTAGGAAATTCAAGATAAAAAGTCGAAAATTCGGAAAAGTCTGGAATTTACTGAATTGAATGTAAGGACTGCGATGCAAAATATAATGAACAGATAAAAAGATCTATTAAAATACTTAGCACACTTAAAATATGGAAGACCTGAAAAATCAGCAGTCACCCATCATATTTTGCAACAAAACATTAGGATTAGTAAGACAAGTTAACAACAACATGCATCTAGATGCCTATGAGACTCTAGAAATGAGTAAACATAATAATATCATGAATAACGATGGTGGATCAATACCTAATTTCTATATAGCTTGTAAAATAATATTTTGATTATTAGATTCACCTAACTATTACATGAGGACACATTGTTAAAATGATTCAAGAATAGTATAGATGAGGCAATATTGTGAAATTAATTTTAGGCAGGTACCTGAAACAAATATATATGACATGAATAAGGATAGCTTTGTAAGTATGATTAGTTTTATCTTCCTCTTGAAGATGATCACTTGGTGATCGAAACACGTGTCGAGGTGTTGAAATAACCATTTGGCGTTTGAAAAAAACTATAGTTATATTCATTACTACACCAAAGGTTCCAAACAGTGTATCACAAGTACAACGTGAATACGTTTGCCTTATATCGTGCGAAAAATATTCTTTATTGTGTGGAAAGTATCTATTGAAAACACTTTGTCAGTAGCAGAACAAAAACTCTCCCCAGAACGCTAACTTGGTTATCGAAACGCGAGTCGAGAGACCGTAATTTTTGTTCTGGTGCTTTGAAAGTGTTTTCAATAGATTCGTTTTATGCCAGAGGTTCCAATACGAACTATCAACTGTGGAAAGTAGTACAAATAGTACGGACTTTTCCAGAAACATTTGGAAATATACCTATACACATTTCATCCCCATTTCACGACATAGTTTCTGAAACTTCTTGACTGATCACAAAATGAAAATTTTCACGTTCTTAGACGATTTCCTCTTTCGATAAAATCGTTAGAGTTGACTTTCTTCGCACATTGTCCACGTTCTAATCAATCAAACACAATATATTTTTTATATGACCATTGAAAAAGCGTACATTATATGACTGGGTGAAACAGCAATAATCTCCTAGCTCATACCTTGGAAGCAATCATAGTTGAGCAGATTCATGAGTCATTATCTTCGAGACGAATCACAGAAGAGCAAATTCATATCTCACAATTGTGTATCAATTATCTTTAAAAATTAGCTACTTCGATATTTGATCTCGAAAGTCAAACGTAATCACCAAAGTGGCAATTCGTTTAGGAATATACAGGGTATATCTTGACGAGTTAACGCAATCTATATATAGAAAACTGAGAGTTAGACGATTATGAAAATTGGTAGGATGAGTGAAGAACTAATAAAGAATTCAACTGAAATATTATCGTTGATGTGACGTTTCGGGTTTCACCGGAAGTGACGTCATCTTTGTTATTTTTTATGGCACACTCTGTATTTAACCTCAATTTTGAATTCTTCCCATGATTTAGATTCTAACTCATGTATCAGACCCTTCACCCAAAATGAACCGTTTTCGAGTTATTCGAGATTTTTTAGGAAAAGTGACAGATGCAGCCTCTCGAACATACGTCATTTTCATGTAAATTAACATTTTTAAAAATATGCAGCTAGTGAATCGCGATAATTGAAGGTTGAACGAATCACGTTGGCCATAGAAAAATTTGGTATCAACATGATGGAGCACTTCCACATAATCATCAGATGGTGAAGATGTATTCAGAAGAAACTTATTACGACCAGTGATTTGGAACCGACGGTCCTCAATTATGGCCACCGCGATCGCCCGATTTAACTCCAATGGATTTTTTTATTTGGGGTTATATATAAATCGAGGTGTATTCTAACACGTCAATAACAAAAGAAGATTTTCAGCAGAGTTCGTACTGCTTTCAACTCTATTCCACTGGACATGATAACACGAGCTGTAGGAGACGTCATACGCAGAAGTGTAAAATGCTTAGAAGTTGGAGACAATGTATTCGAATATTTGTTGCAATGAAAAAAGAGGTTGACAAAAGTGTCACGTGCTCTTGTCTAGCAGTGAAACTAAATTTGAAATTGTTTATTCCAATCATGATTTTAGTCTTGAATATGGGATTATTTTTCATGAGATATTCAATAAAAACTAGGCAACAAAGAAATTTTATCGGACAAAATTAGGGGGTAAAAACGTCAATCCTTGCGTGATAATGACTACTATTGCGGAATATCACCAAAATTATAAGTTTTGGGTATAGGAAAGTGTATCATAACTAGGGCTTATTTTCATAATAGAATTGAAAGTTGAGGAAAAAAATGGGGGTTCCTATTTGAAAAAGTTTTTAACACAACAATCAAAACAGCTATTTCAATTTAGTGGCCTGGATAGAGTCTGCGGAGCTGGAAGAGAAGATATTGATGTTTCATCCGGTTCGTGTCCTTTCTGATTGTTTCAACCGAAAGCAAATATCAATATATTATCACTATCATTCATTTTAAATGAACACCCTTTTTGAGAGCGTAATCGACTGATATAGATCCGGAACTCCATTTGTTTCTACACTGATCAATAAACGACGATAATGACATGAATGAAGAAAAAATAAATAGAAAAATTTCCTGCAGTCGCTTTTTCAATCCGCCTCACCCCTTTCGTTCCCCATCGTGTTCCGATAGCTATAGAGGAACATTTCCGTACGCTTGACGGCGCATCCCATTATCACCGAAATTCTTCAGCCATTGTTATCCCGATCCCGAATCCCGGAATATTTAAAGTCTGATGGTTTTATTAATGACCCACTTTCGGCACTTTCAACGCACCCTTACCGATTATGCTGTTATTAAATTAGTTTTTATGACATCACACGATGATGAATACGAAACCTGAAATAATAGTTAAATTTTTATGTTGCAGCGTTAATGGAGTCTTTTGGCATTTTTGATAAAATCTCAAAGGATCGTTTATCATTGGTAGAACAGAAGACGGTAACGGTATTTTTTCAGAATTGGCAATTCCATTCATCAGATATATATTCATTTTATATGCATGTTTATTGACCTTCTTCATTCCTTTATTTTTTGACCTCTTCCATTCAAGATGACATGGATAATACAAGATCAATGTCAATGATGACTTTACTGAATCAACACCAGGTGATACGCAGTTCTCAAAACAACGACACAAATACTTTTTTTCTCTTTGCTATATTTTTAGCTTATGTAGAGAATTATTTCATTATAAATGCCGTCCTGCTTGACGAAACAAATCAGTTATGGGTATGGGTATCAGATCACATTCAAGTTACTTTACATATTATGTTGTGAATATTGTAACTCAAGGGAACATAGTACTTTTTCCTTTATTCAAAATAAATAATTCCTAAAAACTTATATTTCAAAAGTGAGATATAACATGCATGAACTTAAAATATCGACGCCGCTGATGGAAGATCATACTGATATGTCTCGGAAACAAGACAAACTATTTTATTTCAAATGACTAAATTGATTCTGTGGAAAAATCGTGAAACACGTATACTTTGGTTTTATCACGTCTACTTCAGATTTCAGAGTGACACATTTTCACATTGAAGTTAACCCAATGCCAACCATTTCCTCCAAATATCAGCATTCAATTTGAAAATTTCCATTCAAAATCTTAGGTTGTTTTGAATGTTTTGTCCGTTTTTATGAATCCACTTCAAACTGTAATACCCAAGTGACTGTTTATTCAATTTAATATAAATAAGCGCCACTCGAATCTGTACTTTTTTGCCAACGTAACACAATTCGATTGATTCCAGCATCAGCATAAAAAGTGTCCTTGGGAATCGATGAAGTCGACGAAGAGCGTTT